TGTAGGGCCCAGATTGCACACAAATGTGTGCTTGATTCAAGGAGGAATTAGTAGGACATGACAAGAAGATCTCATGTCACTCAATTTCTCGATGAATGGGTTGAAATGCAAATGCCTTTCTATTCTAAATACCTAAGTCTCTATAACTGTAACGGAGACAGTTATTTTTTAGCTAAAGCTGATGGTGGAAGATGCATAATGAAAATGAAACATATAAAATACATTTCCAAAAGTCCATAGTTAGTCATTATTATTTGTAAACTAAATTTTATATTTCAAATAAAGACTTCTAAAATGATGATTATATAAATAGAAGAGTTCTACAAAGAAGTAGCAGTTGTTATTTTTTCCAAATTAGGGAAGCAATCTTCTCTTTGCAAAGAAAATGGGCTCCAGGTCACATCCGCAAAGGCTGGAATTCTATTCTGTGTTTTGACTTTTGCATCATCAAATACATAACAACAAACGAGGGATCAAAAGATGTTTTTATAAATGAAAGAGAGGTGGTGGCAGTGTTTTCAATTGTATATTCAACTACATTTTAGGTATGTAGGAGTTACATGCTGAAAGTCAACGTGAGTAGAAACTACCATGTACTCTTTAAAGACTGAATTTGCCACATACATAAATAACATGTCCAAAGCTTCGAATGTAAGTATTATTCATAATACCCAGTAAATAATATTGACAAATTTGAAACATTTCCGTCACTCATTTCTTCAGGATTCCACGTTATCCAGCAGTGCAGACAGACTGCTGTCCACATATGGCAGGTTGGAGTACATAAATCTGCCATTTAAAAATCAGTACTGCATAGGAACAAAACTGGGGATATGTTAGGGATGTCATTGCTGGGAATTTCTGGGAAACTTAACCCATTATATTGCATTGCATGCACACACGTATGTAATGCAGATGGGCCTTTCTTTTCAGGATCTTACTGTGTTTTTTTTTAGTTTTTTTTTTTTATTATTAAGGTATTACAAATGTGTCCTCATCTCCCCCATTAACCCCCAACCTCCCCCCCCACACACACACACTCATGCTCCCATCCCCCTGTTGTCCATGTCCATTGGTTTGGCTTATATACATGTATACACTGTTAAGGTGACAAGCAAAAGTATTATGGAAGACCACGATCCCCAAACTAACCACCACAACTAACAACAAGCTGCAGTGTACAATCTCTGTCATAACCCTCTGAAAAGCTTCATCTGATTGTCTTGTAGATATCAGTAAGGGAAAAACTCAAGCAGAGGAATTATAGGCTAATGTCAAAGAACAAAGGGCACACTTTAAAAAGACATGTCCCTGAGCTACGCAGGATGAGTGGTAAGCAGATTCATGTCTGCTCTGCTCCATTGGCTAAGCATGGCATCAAATGACAAACTTATCAAGCTGGTGGGTAAGTTAGAGATGTTGGAGAAATGAAAAGCAAATCAGCTGTGGAATGAGGCCTCCCACCTCTGGCCTGTCGTCCGGGCCCACAGCCTTCCTGTGCTCCAGGGCTGTCCTGCTGCACGCTCCAAGGGACCAGTTGGCACCGGCGCCATTTGTGCGTCTTCCACCTAGAAGGAAAGGAAAGAAACCTCACGGAGAGGAAGCAAAAACGCCAGGCAAACCAGGGCTATGGCGACATGGAAATATGACTGTGGCCACTGCAAAGAGAAATTTATTTGACGATGCTCAGTCCTATCTAAATGTAATGTAGGTCTCCAAGGCATTAGAAAAAGGCAGCATTAAATAGAGCAGTGCTTTCTATGGTAGTGGAGACATAGTTCATAAGAATGTGGCCAAGAACATAGTTCATAAGAACTTGTGGCCAAGTTCTATAAGAATAAACTCTATAGAAAGCATTTAGCCTTCTTAATGATGAGGATTGCCAGCAGGTGTGCCCGATGGTACCAGAGTGACGCATTCTGTTTAGTAGAGGTATGTTTATTTTATATTCAAGTTATAAAACTGCAATTCATGTCATGAGCCTTTTCTATAGTGTTCTTTTGGTTAGTGTTGTAGCGATAACTCAGAAACTGCGATTATAATGCACCTTACAAAGACAAATCCGCCAAATAAATACATTTAGTCTAATTCAGTGGTCGGCAAACTTCGGCTCAGCAAACCACGGCTCACGAGCCACTCGCGAGCCGCGGTTTGCCGACCACGCGTCTAATTGATGTTAGTGTTCACCGTCTAAACATGCAATTATACTATTTTTTGTAATTATTATTTGTCAGAATTAAATACAGATAAATGAAGATGGCAGATCTGCCGTCAATTTCACCTTAAATTGCTATTTTGTGATCACACATTCCATCAATGGATGCCATAATATTTCATTTGTTGTCAGGATTGCAATTATATGCCGTATTGTTTCAATTAGGTCTGTACTTTCTTTTCATAGTTCTGAAGAAAAATTTCTCTAATAACTATCAAGATGATGCTATATAACTTTAATAACCTTAATTTTCTTTGAGGTGGCCAAAAATGAATAGAACAAATGCCTTACTAGCATCATTGAGGTAAAGATGTCATTTTGTCAGCAAGGATGCCAGCATTTGGGAGGAACAGGTGCTTAGGCCATTCTTCTAAGTGAAAAAGAATTGCTTCCTAAAGCATATATTTACATAATTATTAAAAGCGTCTCTGCATTCCTTAGCGTTTACGTCAACATACAAAATTTTCCCAAACTGCTGGAGCTAACAATACAGCATGGAGATTTATGTAATTGTCTCCCTGGAGATCATTTCAGTAGGCGAACGGCTCTTTTAAAGAGGTAAGCGATGGCACCTACAGCTATAAACATCCCACACTTCACTGAGCCTGCAGGACAGCATTGGACTTGAAGCATTTTGCTCAATGCATCGGTCACAGTGCTTTTTCTTTCCCTCTATTACCTGTAGCTTTGGCACATTTGAGGGGCCTCGCAGGCTTTCTCTTCATAGAGAGGCTCCGTGCAGTCCCTGCCTCCGTTGGCTGGCAGCTGAATGATGACCCGGTGCCGAGACTGCTTCTTGACTCCGGAACTCCCTAGAACGAGGCAGCTTTTTAACCTCTGTGCTCTGAACTGATAAAAAGACTCTTCAAATACCATCCTGTGTGAAGAAAGCACATGGCCTCTAGCTACACGTGCTTTGACATCCCTGAATGAGAGGACACATCTAGTCTAATCATTTCCTAAATCCTCCCAAAGACTGCTTATACTGAAAACCCAATCAAATTCTATTTAAAAATGGGAAGAATGAGGAAAACAGTTCCATAGTCAACGAGGCTTCCCAATGCACAGTTGCAAAGTAATTGCTCTTTTGTATGTTCCTTGCCCCTTGAGAAATATGACAGCTCTAATTAATTTATTTTTCTCTACCTTAAGTTTATTTTCATGCCATTTCACATAGCCCTGTTTACCACACGGGACTCATACACATGTAATGAATCTTTCTTAGGAGAATATATTCCAGATTTTAATGAGAAATTTTATTTCTTTGTTATTCACTTAATTTGAAATGCATAACTCATAAATTATTCTAGTCATTTATTATTCATGTTAAACAGTCTAAGATCTTCAATTCAGGTCACATTTTAACATCAGGGTTGTACGTAGTGAAATGAAAGTCACTTCCTAGAGGCAGAATTTTTAGAGAAGCATTCGAAATAGTGATCATTACTCTAAGTAAGTAACTCCAAATTGTGTTTGAAAGCCAACGGAAATAAGATTTATCTACAATGAAGAGATCAAATTGACAGTATGATTGATATAAAGATGCTCAAAATTTTTTAGTATTAGAAACAGATCATGTATAAGACTTGCCAACTTTAATAAAAAATATATTCCAACTTATAATAAATACACTTTAGAGATGAATAGCTGCATGGCACAATTTCACTCATAAAAGAATTCCCTCAAGAATTATTTTAATGGAGTTGGCACGATGCATTTAAATTTTTTGTAAGATCATTAAATACTTAATATGTAGACCACAGGAACAGAGAAATTTAGAAGGGTTAGCAGCCCCGAACAATGAAAGTTTAACCAGAAATGAAATGAAGCATTCTTAAAGTTATTATGTTAGTAGAAAAATATGATTTGACAATTAGAACTTTCTAATAACGAAACATCCTTTCTCATGAAGTTAAGGTATCCCTCAATGGGGTCTGGGCAACTGATTCCCAGCCATGTGGATTGAAGATTACTGTGTTAGATGTGTGAATGGATCAAATTAGTGATTCCTAAATGGCTGACTGCATAGGATAATTTCCTTAAAAAGACAAAAACAAAACCATTTCTCAGAATTTTTGGGAGCTGAGTTTAAAAGTCTGATTTTTACAAAGCTTGCCAAAAAACTGTGATGAATACCAAGGCTTAAGATCTACTAGAATAGACAACCTTGTATGCCTTGTCCCAATTTCAGATAGTATGGTTCATGTGTAATTTTTAAGATTACTCCCATTGTGGGGGAAACCTGTACTATTAATGATTGTATTAACTATATTAGTGAATAACTGGAATACTACAGGTAATGGAGTAGGGAATTAGGGACTGGAGGTAGTGAGTAGCAGAGAACTCAAGTATTTGAAAATACTGTCATGGACATTTTTAGTTTAAAAGTAGTGGTATGAATGCTAGCTCCAACTTTTACATGTTAAAAATCCTTTATCTAGTAAAGATCTAAAAAAATGCCTATAGGACTTTTAATAAAATTGCTAATGCAGTCTTCATCCATTTTATTGTCCAATGACTCCTATTTTTAAGGCCCAGGTGAGAGATTCCTCTAATAATGTAGAGCTAGGAAAAATTTTGTTTCCCCTGACAATCAGTTAAGAATCCACTGTGCTTCCATTTTTGGCTTTGTTCACCAAAATCTCAGAACTAATTTTCTTCTCAATTGCAGCCGCTTACCTTAATTCTAATTTCATAGTATAATTTTTCTCTTCTTCTCCCATTTACTATTTGACTCCATCCTTCTTTTACACTTTCTATTATTATTTTTGCTTATAATCTTCTTAAAAGAGTATACACACTAAACGACCGTTTTTGTCATTCGTTTAGTATTGGGGGAAGGAAGGAGGTGCTTGTTTTCTAACAGGGAAAAGAGGAAAAGAATACAGAGGAGCAGGCCTTTGCTTCCCAGGGGTTCGATCATTCTCCCACCCTCTGAACCTGCAGATAGACAACAGACATGGAGTTTGGAACAAGGGATCCAGACAAAGCAGGTGACTGTGAGTTCAGCATCAGGGGCACCTTATAAGGCTGAAGCTTTGGGTCATTAACCCCCTAGATGTCACCTGGGACATAGGCAGGGCTGTTCAGACCGGGGAAGCAGCAGTCAAATGTGAGGATTTCATTTTTACTTTGTTTTTTGACTTGAAAGCAAAAACGTCACCTAATGTACAACTCTGACATATTCTAGTGCCTTCGCAACACAACCTCCATAGTCTGCATTTAATATATAAGGCTATGATGACTGTTTCTCACTTCCATAGTTGGTTCCATCTTGGCAATCCATTTAGTCTTATAAAAAGTTCAAATACCTTAACCTTGTGCAGCCCACAGGGACAGAGATTGTGACCTGATTCGAGTGAAACATTTCAAAGCCATAACATGTAGAGAGGAAGTTTAATGGGGTTACACAGGAAGTGTCATGACACCCATGTTTCTACCCACTAAGAGGTTCATTTCTTCTCAGCTCTCAGTTAAATTACTTGTGCATTCAAAGAAACAGCACTGTAAGCTCATCCAGGTTATAGAGCTCTCAGATCAAAGTACAGACAAAAGGAGAGCTATGGCACACAATAAAAAAAAAAAGGAAGGTTCCCCACTAACAATTTGAACTGGCAAACTAGAATTTTACAACCTTCATAATTTCCTGTTTGTACTTATACCCAGTTTATTACATGTGGTTAATACACATATATAGTTTCCATTTATCTTTGTGGTTTAGCTCCAAGAACAATAGTTACACTTACCAAGGACTTAATAAATATTTGCTGAATGAGAAAACACACTTATTTCATTTCTTCTCAACTGGATTATTAACATCTTCTATTTCTTTTATCCATCTCCTTACAGTAGTAAAAACATGGGGACTAAGCCTGCACATTGAGGATTAATAAAAAAATAAGGTTTCACTTTGTCCTTTGGAAATAATAAGCATGGGGAAAATAAAGGAATATTCCTGTAGTGTTTATACTGGAAACTACCTATATAGGATACAAATAGAAAAAAAATGGATTATATATTCAGAAAACAATTATGTGATGATGGGGCACATGGATTCAGAGGGTAATGTAATCTCTCACAGTTACAGCACTTTTCAGATACTTTAAGACGTTCAAGATGAATTTCACTAGAGAAATGACTTGGTGGAAGGATTTAGAAGGCAGGCAAAACTAAGATTTGTTAAGCTGGATGTGGAAGGAATAGCAGGACAGAGGAGCACAGCAGTAGGAAATTGGAAAAGAAATGTTTCATGCAAGAAGCAAAATGTAAAGGTATTTTTCCTATCTTTGGGGTAATTTTAAGGAAGTAGTGCTTAAAGGCATCAAGGTAGAATAGATGCCTCTTCAATATCCCTTCTAGATCTCAATTAAATAAATGTAGCGTGAAAAGGGGGAGGGTAAATAGAAATTGAGCAGCTAAATGCATTATTTGGTAAAAAAAAATAATGATATTTTAAAGATTAGAGCTCCAAATAATTTATATGTATAAATGTTTTCTATTTTTAAAAACTACCCTTTGTAAAGTTTATGAAAATTTTTAAAAAGTTAACAAGTGCACTGGTTTAAGAATTACTCTCTTACTCAATTTCTGATCTTTGTTGCATTCAACACATATCTTGAGAGAGGGCTGAACAACATTTCAAATAATTCTTTTTGTTCTTGCTGGAATGCTAAGCTATTCTGTTCCATTTTCTGCAATACTAAAGCATAATTTTACCTCTTTAAATTACTTTTTAAAAGGAGGTTAGCTCCACACATTCATTAATTCAAAACTCCTATAAACTTTAGACTTCACCCTCATAACTAACTTCGAAAGAACCACCCCATCACTGAATTAATTTTCTGTGGCTGTTATCTATCCTTGAACATTCAACTTTGTTTGCATTTTTTAATTGTGTGAGAAATTCAGTGTCATTTCAATGAAATGTGGACCATTCCCATTTCATACCAAATAATGAAAAACTAACCACATATCATTGCTTTATTTTCCTTGTAACAAAAGGCTAGTTTCCTAACACCATTGTATTGTTCTTCTCTGTTTCAGCAATCTATGGGCACAACAGAAAAGGCTTCTCCAAGAAACAAAGCATTTGGCACTGCTGTCCAACAGCAGCCCTCTCCTGCCCCTTAGTCTTTATTTCCTCAACATGCAATTACAGTTCTTCCTTTTAAGTCTGAGTGCCTAGACCGAGGGTTTCTAAAGCCCTTTGTTTTGGAGACTCAGTCAACATACCATAGAGCTGCCACACTGAACGGGCAGGGCTGATCTGCTCCTGGTGAGGTGACCTGCACTCAACCAAACACAGTCCCACCTCTCCGAGAGTCTCTAGCTCACAGGACAGCAGTTCTGAGCTGGC